GTCTAAATTTGGACCAGTTACCAGACTATTTCATTGTCTTTACCTGCAAAATCAAAGCTGTCTCCAAAGTCCGGTGTAGTGGGGTTTAAATGAGAAGACCTGAGTGAGATATGCCAAAGCTCCCCTGACATAATCAACTCGAAGAGGAAAAATCTGTGTACTGACATGTCTTAAATGAATTAAAACATCAAGACGATTCAACTAATTAATATGTGTGCACCCAGTATTGGAGGAGATAAGTATGTTAGACAAATTGTCACATCTGAGTGAAGTAAGTAAAAGTAAAGTAAAGGCCCTCCCGTTGATCGTCGATTTGCTCGAGCGGGCCCAGTAACGTCTCCATTGGAGACTTTGTTGTTACTGTGTCTGGCATATCGAATACTCTCGGTAGCTTGCCGGGCTCTCCGAGAGGGGCGGAGGAATCGAACTCGGGTCGGCCATGTTGGCCGCTTGTAAGGCGAACGCCCTACCGCTGTGCTATCGCTCCAGCCCATCTGAGTGAAAGGATAGCTAAAAAAAATAATAACTGTAGAAAATTTTAATGCCCCATTTTCAGCAATGGATAGATCTTTTAGAAGTACTACACCACTCACCCTCTTTCAGTTCTTCCAATTTATTGTACAAATGAGGATTTCTGGATTCTAAGTACATTTTCTTTGCTAAGTAGATCATCCATTTCCCCTTAACATTAAATGCACATCTTATTTATAGATCCTGATATGTTGCTAATAAAGTGAATAAAGAAAATGAAATATATTTTACATGAATTCTGAAATATAGTAGCTATATTTTTAAAAAATTCACTATCATTCTGAGTTTGAACAAAGTGAAGCTCACCAAGTCCCTTGTAAGTGAAATAAACTCACTGGTCTGTTAATACAAGTCTTAAAATACGAAACCAAAACTAACAAAGCAGTTTACTATCATGACAGATTCAAACTGCACAGAGGGTTGGATGTCTTCTCCTGCTAGTACTCTCACCATTATGTGTGCAAAACCCAGGAAGCGAAGATCAATCTTCCCCACCCTTAAAAAAATAAGAAAAATCATGCTGATCAAAATAGAAAAATATTGCCAACGTTGATGACACATGAGGTTAAAAATCCTATCTCCAAGGGTCAGAGAAATAGTATAGCAGGTAAGGCAGCTGCCCTATACGCAGCCAATCTGGGTTCGATCCCTAGCTTCCCATATGGTCCCCTGAGCCTGCCAGGACTGATTCTTGAGTGCCAGCCAGGAATAAGCCTTGAGCACCGCTGAATGCAGCCTAACCTCCCCCCACCCCACCAAATTCTACTTTAATGTGGCAACCACAATTGCTACCTCCATGAGTGTGCAACAATTTGGCTCCATCTAGTCTAAACTTTCAGAAGACGTTGAGCTATTTGCTTTTAATAGAACTTGTACATATGTCAAACATACCATATGATTGCATGTAATATGTAAGATACAATATATAAGTGATTCCTAGAGTCCTATAGTAATACTAATGTAGTAATGCTAATGTAATTACACTAATCTTTTCACATCCTAGATTTCTTTGGGGGTGAGAGTATCTGAAATCTAATCATGCATTTACTATAAAATTATCGACTGGGGGGGCTGGAGTGATAGCACAGCGAGTAGGGCATTTGCCTTGCACGCGGCCGACCCGGGTTCAATTCCCAGCATCCTATATGGTCCCCTGAGCACCGCCAGAGTAATTTCTGAGTGCAAAGCCAGGAGTAACCCCTGAGCATCGCCAGGTGTGACCCAACAAGCAAAAATAAATAAATAAAATAAAATAAAATTATCAACTGGGGCCAGAGAGATAACATAGCAGTTAAGGCACCTGCCTTCGATGCAAAGACCTGGGCTCATTCCCAGGTATGAGCCCTGAGTGCAGAACCAGAAGTAAACCTGGACACAGCCAGCTGTGGCCCAAAACAAAAAATAATATATAATTAATTAATTAATTAAATTCTAAACTAAGCCCATCAAATTATACTTTAAATTGGTAGGTTAATTCACTCTATATAAAAGCAATTTTGTACCCATTAACCGGAAAAGGACTCCCTAGCTTTCTATGCCATGCCCTGTAACCACTGTTCCACCTGTTTTCAATTGTTCTTCCGCAGAAACTGGCACAACTGCTCTGCGTCCAGCAAGCCCATCAGCTCCATTTTCCAGCCATGTGTGCTCACTTCGCATCTCTGTGACATATGTTGGTGATTCGGTGCTTCCTGCTCTCTCATTATTGTCGTGATGATTGTACATGTTGTGGCACTCTGTAACCTGTGATCGATGATCTTGGATGCGACTGCTCCAGTTGTTTGGGTGGATCATGGACCACCCCAGAATGAGACTTATTTGGGAACCTTGTGTGTGTTGCAACAACTCCACTCCAGCAACCTCGGGCTCTCTCTTTCCCCTCCAACCCCCGGATTCCCTGAGACACAACAATATTGAAATCAGGTCCGTTAACAACCCGACAAAGAGACTGCTCATTCTGTGGTCCAGTGAAATAGAGTCGCGCATTTCTCACATTAAATTGAAAGATCAAATAGCTAAGCTTAGTGAAAAAGACATCTTGGAAGACAAGACGGCCCAGAGCTAAACCTCTTGCGCCAATCAGCACATAAATACAAAGAAAAGACGTTGAAGGAAATTAAAAGTGCTACTCAGTAAACACATAACTGATTTTTTTAAAATAAAAGCAAAACACACTTATAATGAAGAAAATGTGAGTGAATCAAGCAAGTCGCAACAACCCCTTAAGACAAGGCTCGTCCAAGGTAAGGACCAAATGCTCTTTGATTCTGTGAAAGCAGAGAGGTGAGAATGCTGTGGAAGAAAAGTGTGATGCTCACAGAGATTGTTTTGTGAGGTGAAGTAACATCTCAGAAAAGAAGACTGTAAGGTGAGTCACAGAAATGGAGGTAGCAGCTGCAACAAGTAGTTCGAGAGATCAAGCTTAGATTATTGATGAAGGCGGCTACACTAAATGATTGGTTTGTTCGATATTATTTTTACGCTTGAAGGTAACACCCAGTGGGAGTTGAGAGACAAACATTTCACCTGGCAGTGTTCTGGCGCTACTTGGTGCCAGGGACGGAAGCCAGCATCTTACGCATGCAAAGACATGTGCTAGAGGGGCTGGAGCAATAACACAGCGGGTAGGGCATTTGCCTTGCACGCGGCCGACCGGTGTTCAATTCCCAGCATGCCACATAGTCCCCTGAGGACTGCCAGGAGTAATCCCTGAGTTCATGAGGAGCAATCCCTGTGCATCGCTGGGTGTGACCCAAAAAAGCAAACCCAAAAAAAGACATGTGCTATAGACCCTAGAACTGCCTCCCTGATAAACCATCGATTTCCATTATAGATCAACAGCTATCTTAGACTTTCATAGCTATAAAGCAGAAGTCAATGACTGATTTCCTCATCAGGGACCACTGCAGCAGGTGACTTGCACTTAAAGCCAATGCTTATTTGCCATTCTGATCATCTTGGAACCTTTAAGAATGATACAAAGTCAACCCGTGCTCTGTTAATGAAATCACAAAACCATTTTGAAATAAATGATTAAATATGTCTATACCATGGTTTATTGAACATTTTTATTCTACTCTTAAGACCAGCGTCTCAGGAAATAAAAAGAATTTTTTACAAAATATTACCATTCAATAAATAGTGCACCTGGTCACCCAAAACTGCTGATGGAGTTTACAAAAAAAAATAATATTTTGTAAGTTCTAACAAAACACCTATTTATGCAGTCTATGGATTAATAAATTATTTCAGATTTCAGTAGTTATTTTTAAAATACATTTCTTAAGGTGGTGTTTGCTATGGATAGTGATTGATTGTTATGATGGATTGGGAAAAGTCAATAGAACACATTAGGGAAATAATACACTATTGTAGATGTCATCAAGAATGGTTTTGAAAATGCTGAGAATTTGTTGAAATGACAAAGAGAAAAGGATTTAGAATACTATCTAAACATTGTTGATTATGCAGGCGCAGAATTTGAAAGCATTGATTGACCCCAATTTGAATGAATTTCTTCTCTGGATCAAGCTCTACCAAGCAGAGTAGCATACTCAAGAGAAATAAATATTTCATGAAAGGAAAAGTCAATTGATGTGGTAAACTTCACTGTGGTCCTATTTAACAGAATGAAACCGCCACTCACCCTTGAGCAGCCAATATCCTCACTATGAGTAGCCATCAATACCAAGACAAGACCCTCCACCAGCAAAGGGACTCACTGAAGACTTTTTTTGGACATAATGCCAAGGTACATTTAATAGACCATGACATAGATAAACATAACGTTTAGATACACTGGGAAGCTAATAGTTTTATTTGATTTGCCTTATTACAATATTCATTTCATAGTGATGGTCTAAGACAGAACCCATATGAGCCCCAAAGTTACTATTCATCACTAGGGTAAGGGTCTGGTCAACATCAACTTAATCAAGACTCAAGTTACGAAGAAAATACAAATCTTGTTCTTTCTCCACCTGTGTTCAAATTTGTAAGCTTCTTTGTTAACTCAGAAACATTAACACATTAAGAAAAACGAAAACAATTTGCCATAATATTTCTCTGAAACATATCAGAGTATCTAGAGATGGAACTGGAGATGCCATGAAAATCACAAATCACAAAACAACAAATCACAAATCATCCTGTTATTCGTCGATTGCCTCGAGCAGGCCCCAGCAACGTCTCCTTCATCCTATTCCTGAGATTATATTCAAGGTTCTTTAGGAGAATGAGACCCATCATTGTTACTGGTATTTGGCATATTGGGTACGCCACGGGGAGTTTGCCAGACTCTGCCGTGTGGGCAGGCTACATTCGGTAGCCTGCCAGTTTGTCCAAAGTAGGAATGAGATAATAAGATGTCATAATAAGAAAATATGACAAAGCATCTTTAAGGTTCTAGTTGGGCTTTTAAAACTCAAATGTCAAAAACAAGGTAAAAAGGGAAAAGAATATTCACTCACCGAATGAAACCACCCGGACTATCTTCTCCCAATGTCCATAAGGGAAGGTGTGAAGGGAGCAGGAATAGAAGCCAACATCAGCTTCAGAGGCATCGTGAAAAAACAAGGTCATATCATTGGGAGTCCCAGTTACATTTAAAAAGGAAACCTTGTCAGTGTAACCTTCTCTAATGTCCATGCCGTGGGTTGGGTTGAAGATCGCTATGGACTCCTTCTCCGTGGTGTTGATCTTGAACCACTCCATCTGGGTTAAGGTGCCCGCTGATGGGTACACACACTCCAGAGTCATATTCTCAGCAAGTCTGACAGTTGTATCCCAAAACATCTCTCTACATAAAGCTGAAAGATACAGCACATTGATTCCATCAGCCAGACACCAGAGCACCAAACAGTTATTTTTAGCTTATTCTAAGATTCCTCAGATATACAGATACTAAACCGGGATGCTGGTTAAGGCTCCCAGCTTCTTAGTTTGCAACGGTTTCCACTACTGATCAATGGAAACTGAGTTTCTCTGAATAAGTAAGGAAGGATCTAATCCCGCTAAAGAGCATCATAAATACTGAATGAATTATAAGATGAAAACAGGAGTTCGTTTTTAAAATGAAGACATTATCTTTACCTTTGTGTGCATGAAGGATTGTCAGGAGGACAGTAAGGTAATCCATCTCTGGAAATGGTTTTGGAGCCCTGCTCGATACAAAAGAAAATTCTTTTGTTACGAGCAGAGGCCAGCACAAGGAACTGTTTCCTTCCTCTCCGATGGTATCAACAGTCTTGTCTTTCTAAAGCAGAGACAAAGGAAAAAGAGGTTTTGGTTTCAAAATCTGGTTTTCTCTCTCACAGGGAGGGCAGATTCGAATTATTTCTCTCTCGGGGAAAGAGCTTATTCTCCAGCTTCCAGCTTCTATGAAGATTCATTCATTGAGCAAATGTGGTTTGAGAACCACTCTCTACTGTCAGCGGTGAAGAGCTGTCGGTCCGTTGTTTCCCAAGTCCTCGCCATGGAGGAGCGTCTATGGACATGGGAGGGGACAGGAACTCAAAGAAGACAGAACCGGGCAAGGGGACATTGGTAAGCGCACGGAAGCAGGAATGTAGAGAGAGGGAGGAAGACAGTGTTTTGCTTTCGGAGAGAAGCCAGGAAGTCTTTCCCCAACACACAAGACAAAAAAATACAAGGGGAGGGGCCTGCAGCTGGTGGGGTGGGGGTGGGCGTCCTTGAAAGAAAAAAATGTGAGACCACGTGGAGCTCTTAGCAGAAAGAAGTGGGGAAAGGGTATAGGTCAGCCAGGTTATGAGTCAACTGGACGGCGAAGGACCAATTGGCTGTATGCAATGTACTTAAGGCAGTATACTCTTAAGATGAAGGCTGGAGTGATAGCACAGCGGTAGGGCGTTTGCCTTGCGTTCAGCCAGCCCGGCTGAGCCGGGTTCAATTCCTCCGGCCCTCTCAGAGAGCCTGGTAAGCTACCGAGAGTATTTTGCCCTCATGGCAAAGCCTGGCAAGCTACCCGTGACGTATTCGATATGCCAAACACAGTAACAACAAGTCGCACGATGGAGACGTTACTGGGCCCACTTGAGCAAGTCGATGAACAACGGACGGCATTGTTTGTGTTGTTTGACTTCTAAGTGTTCATCTGACTCTTGCAAAAATGTTACAATATGATGGTTGGAATCTACAACAAGTGCATGTGGGGTGGAGGGTAGGTAAGATAGAGAAGGGACCGATATGACAATAGTTGGAAATGATCATACTGGATAAGAACTGGGTAGTGGCTGGGGCGATAGTACAACAAGTAGGGCGTTTGCCTTGCACACGGACAACCTGGTTGGATTCCAGCATCCCATATGGTCCCCTGAGTACCGCCAGGAGTAATTCCTGAGTGCATAAGCCTGTGCAACTCCGGGTGTGACCCAAAAAGAAAAAAAAAAAGAACTGGGTGTTATTAAAAGTAGGTAAAAATTAAGTAAAGGGATATACGCGACAACATTTCAGTATCTAAAATGCAAACCACAATGCCCAAATGGAGAGAGAAAGAGGGGGGATAGAGTGAGGGAAAGAGAGAGAGAAAGACAGAGACAGAGACAGAGACAGAAGAAACGTTTCCTGCCATAGTGGCAGAATAGGGGGTGGTCCGTGATGGGAGGGAACAGCTTTGTAAGGGTCTATCTCACAGTGATTCAATTAAAAAATTTTAATTAAAAAAGTTACAATACATTGCTTCAATAAAAATAAGAAATATTGTCTTATGTCAACTAATCATTTTAATCAAGACAAAATTCAGGTGGGGGACCATTAGGAAATGAAATGGCTTAGTTCCTCAGAGGAACTGACTGAAACGAAGTTGGTGCTGGCTTGGACGGAGATCCCAAGGGAAGGGAGGCCCACCCTGGCTGTTGGAGACCACAGCAGTCGCTCCGGCTGCATCATGCACGGGCCTGGGATCCCCTTGAGAGGAAGGAGCCCATCTCCGACAGGAAGAGTCTGGACGGGCTGGAAGACGCAACTGAGATGAGTGAGGAACAGAAAATGCCAGACTCGGCTGTTGACGGGGGCATCCCATGGCCCCAGGAGGCTTTCTCTTGGTACTCGTTCCAAGAGCGAGTACCAGCTGGTCACCATCCATGGCACATTCTGCTTTCAGTTCTTCCAAATGGAGCTGTGCTCACTCCCCTTCCCACCTACAGGAAGCCTCCTTTTGTTGAAGTCCTCATTGTCCCAGGGATGTGATAACCACCTACAACCTCTGCTGTTCTGTGGTCAACTTGACATAGACAGGAAGTGAGATAGGGAAGGCCCCCTCCCCAGGCGATGGCAGTAAATTTCCTAGGAAGTAATAGCTCTGAAGTTTTGAAAGCCAACCTGGCAGAAAACAGGAACTAAGGCCTGATAAGACCCTCATCTTGCTCCAGCAACAGACCCTGAGGAAATTGGACACCTACTCATGAAGGAAATTCCTCAAATACCCTCAAACCTCTGCCTTAATCCGATGAACTTTAGTGATTCAGTCCAGAGAAGACTTCAGAACATTCCAGACCAAGACATCCCAAAGAGATACTTTATAAGGTCACCTTGAACAAAGGAAGGGCGCATGTGCTGCCTGAGTCCATGTGCTGCTTGTGCCCACATGGCTGAGCACATGTGGGCTGAGCACATGTGTCGCCCTCATCTCCCCTCTTGAGATGGGTACTTTCATGCTTTCATGTCTAATGCTGGGATGTGTGCAGGGGTCTCTTCGCCCTTGGAGAAGCCCGGGCTCTCTCTTGAGCACGTTACTCTCCACTCTCTCCCACCCCTCCTTCCCTTCAAAACCTCCAATAAAAACTATGTAATTTCACTTCTTCTCTACTCCTGAAATTCCTTTCTGCGAGGCGAGACAAGAACCCAGTAACCCTGGGTCCAGGATGCCAGAGGCGGATCGGGAGAAAGTGATGGTCTCTCTCCTCCCCACTTCATATGACCCACCCGTGGACCCCCCACCCCCCACCTCGGACATCAAACTGTGCTGACCTGGGGCAGTGAAGAGCAGGACTGAAGAACCCAGGCATGGCCCGAGCTGGCCCAGTTAGATGAAAGAAATGATGAAAGAAATGATTTCTATTCCATGTCAGGGTGACAGGTTCTGTCTCTCGGACACTTGCTCCCCTCATTGTATGGCCAACTTAAAAAGCAAATAAACAAAAACATTGCTCAGTTCCTGCAGACAGAGTTGCCCGGAAGGAAGCCAGGCTGAGGGCAAGGAGGGCTGGGAGACGGGAAGGGGTCCCAGTCTGGGGGCACTGTGTGGGCACCCCGAGTCACTGAATCCAGCAAGACTGGAGGCAGGGAGGATTGAATGAAAAAAACAAAGCTTCCCTGTACCCTAAGTCAGTTAGAAAACGGGGAACCCACCCCCCATAACCCATCTTCTGCCACTCTTCACAACACGAAGGAACCTTGATGGCAAGCTTGCATGAAAGGCTACTTGCTGTGTGGAAGAGAGGGTGGAGGGATAGCAGAATCCACACACAGGGCAGACCTCAGGCTGCAGGAGCTGGGGAAACGCCTGAGGTGGGGTTTCCTGGGGTGGCGGTCAGCATGAAACTGAGAAAGATGGTCGTTGTTAGCACATTGCCAATCTCTGTAAATCTCTCTGCAAATGACCGTAAAGATAACGCATACTTGTAAACGCTGGCTTGTTTGCAAGTATGCTGGCTCAATGAACACAGGTTACTGTGTGTGAACAGGAAGAGCCCACATTTGCCCCACCACCACCTTCCCAGCAGCAGAAGCCATTCCCCTGGCCTTGGCTCGGCCTCTCTGGGCAACACTCCGGATCCCACGCCCTACGGCGAATGCAGATGGTGCCTCCAGAACTGCCCGGGAGGGATCAGTGGCCGACTCCAGGGCACAGCTTGAGGATAAACCGCTGGCCATAAATACTGCAAAAGAGCTTAGTCCGGGTTGTCAGACTAATGATTTATGACATCAAAGAGCATTAAGTCCTTATTAAACAAGCACCCGAACATATGATAGATAGAGGATGCATCTGTGTGTGTGCACAGGTGTGCCAGCAGGCGAGCGAGGTGGCACACACAGGTGAGAGTGGCTGAAGGACAAAGCATATGTCTGCTCAGCACCATGGGCAGGCAGCGGGCTGCCGCGGACGGAGAAAGCACAGAGAGAAGCCAGTTCTTTTCACGCCCTCCTGGGGTCCCCTCCCCCTGAAGCTCAGCATCAGCCCAGTGGGAGAATTCTAGAGAAAGGGGTTCTAGAATTAAGTTGGGATTAAGTCAAGTTCTGGGGGACAAGGCCGTTGGGATCGAGAAGGATAGAAGGATGTTTGTATAGTATGATAAACACAGTTGGAAAGGATCACTATGGATAGGAACTGCATGCTGAAAGTAGGAACTGCATGCTGAAAGTAGGAACTGCATGCTGAAAGTAGGTAAAGGAACAAACATGATAACCTCTCAGTATTTGTGTTGCAGACCATAATGCCCAGAAGGGGGGGGGAGGGGAGAGAGTGAGAGGGGACAGAGAGAGGGGAGGAGGGGAGAAGGAAAGTACCTGCCACAGAGCCACAGAGGCAGGCTGTGAGAGGTAGGGTGATGAGAGGGAAACTGGGGCCATTGGTCGTGGGAAATGGACACTGGTGGAGGGATGGGTGTTGGGTCATTGTACCACTGAAACCTCATCATCAACAGCTTTGGAACTGTGTCTCTCACAGTGACTCAACTAAAAACATAAAATTTTTTTTAAAAAAATGTTGGCGTAAACCCTGAATCTCCAAAGCCAACTAAGCTGAGAGACAAAGAGAACAGGACCGTACATGTCTCCAGGAGTGTCTTCAATTTTTTTTTTTTTAATTTTTATTAGTGGAGGGCTGGAGCGATAGCACAGCGGGTAGGGTGTTCGCCTTACAAGCGGCCAACATGGCCGACCCAAGTTCGATTCCTCCGCCCCTCTCAGAGAACCTGGCAAGCTGCCGAGAGTATTCGATATGCCAGACACAGTAACAACAAAGTCTCCAATGGAGACGTTACTGGGCCCGCTCGAGCAAATCGAAGATCAACGGGAGGGCCTTTTATTAGTGGAACACCATGAGGTACAGTTATAGACTTACAAATTTTTGTGCTTGGGTTTCAGTTATACAATGATCGAGTACCCATCCCGCCACCGGTGCCCATTCTCCACCCCCACCAATCCCAGTATCCCTCCCATCCCCCATCCCCCAT